AGGGAAATACGGTAGCACCTTCTAAAACGATACGGTAGCACCGTTAACAAACCTAAATTTTTTACCCTTCGACGGCGAAATAATACGGTGGCACGTGCCACCCATGCCACCACATAAGGTCCGCCCATGTATATCAGGTGCATGTATGATTAAAAAAGAATTATAGTATTATTGCATTGATGCTTTACAACGACTACACTGTGCTCGTATGATTTTGAAAAAGATTGAAGTATTAGTGCTCCATATTATATTCTTCTTGTGGAATGATGATCCTTCTATAGACACACTTTAAATGTATAATTGACGAGCAAAGTTTCTATTAGTACATAACACAAAGATGGCACTACCCTGGTACTTTAGGTCCGTGACAAGCAATAACATAGTCTTTAGAACTTGTGGATGCATACAACAGACCTCTCATAGCTATTGAACATTAAGAAGTGTAAAATACTGTTACTTTACTACATGAAGTCGGATACCAAAAAGATTTATTTGTATTATTCCCCTGGATTACCTGTTCTCTTTGTTGATTCATCATAACAAGCATTTGAACCTTCTTGATAATGGAATCTGGGTATGCAACCAAAAAGATACATATGATGTTTATGGATGTCACTAGTTACCATCTACCAAGCAAGTATCGGTTCTCTGGGGCCATTCTAGGTTTTTTATGGACACTTTGATGGTGCATAGTTTTAAATTGATCTGTTGTGAGTTATTGAATGGAGAGGGATGATTGAACGACATTGACTAGTGAACTTTGTGGTTCTTAGTGATGTGTTCTTATGAGTGAAAATCGATAAAGATGATTAAGGAATATAGTTTCTCTTTGACAAAACAAAGAAAGAATACTCTTATGAATTCTTTCTATTGGCACTCGAACCATTGTTCTGAAAAATGCCTAATAGAAAAAGATTCATAGGTACTTGGCTCAAGTCTTCCTGGAAATTGTCACTCTACTCTTTGGGGTAGACGACAGGTTTTGTGTTCATCCCTGCTTTTGAGTGGGATAAACTGTGTGAGGTTTTTTTATATCTGTGGTTTATGTGTGACTTTGTTCATCTATTCTATGATGAAGGGTGCATGGCAGCCCTGGATGCAGAACATTACCTACAGGAAATTGGATCGCAGGAAGGGAAGAGTGATTGATTAATGCAAGATTCTTGATGCATTTATGAAGAATTATTTTCATTCTTCAACATCAAAAGGATAAGTTCTGTTATTGGTATGCCTTCAGACTGTGTTCATTTGCGTATGATGTGTGGCATATGACATTAAAGTAAATGCTATTTGTTTCTTAATTTGTTGGCTGGAATTCCCAATAATCCATCTGTTTATCAATATTTGCTTGCTATTACTCAATTGTTCAGTGGATCATGAGATGGTAAAAGGGATCTTAAGTTTATATGTTTCTGACATGTGTATTTGCCTACAATTGCTCATCATAAAAAATAGTCATTAAAGAACCAAGAAGAGTGCTCTATTCTGATCTTGTATAAACTGCTGAATTGCCTTTGGATGCACACCTTCCACTTGATGTATTATGTAATGTCTGCATAACCTTTCTTTTTGACGCTTTGAATAAATATCATATAGCGGATAGGTCGGCTGGTGAACGATACTTATCAAAATTATCACTCTACCTCCAAATGAAACTGGTTTCTTTTCCATCCTTTTTAACGGTAACCTTTCAAGTAGATNGAACGATACTTATCAAAATTATCACTCTACCTCCAAATGAAACTGGTTTCTTTTCCATCCTTTTTAACGGTAACCTTTCAAGTAGATACTTTGTTTGAACTAGCTCCTGTTGATATTAGGGATGGCGGCTGGTGAACGGTACTTATCAAAATTATCACTCTACCTCCAAATGAAACCGGTTTCTTTTCCATCCTTTTTGACGGTAACCTTTCATGTAGATACTTTGTTTGAACTAGCTCCTGTTGATATTAGGGATGGCGGCTGGTGAACGATACTTATCAAAATTATCACTCTACCTCCAAATGAAACYGGTTTCTTTTCCATCCTTTTTAACGGTAACCTTTCAAGTAGATACTTTGTTTGAACTAGCTCCTGTTGATATTAGGGATGGTGGTTTGACCTGACCTTTGATGGGTACTTGGTTCACCCAAGCTTGGGCATTCCCTGCATAATTGGGTCCGGAGACGGGTATACACCGGCCCCGCCCGCCGAGATGGTATTCTTCGTGCGATCCCGGCCCCAATATGATATATATTACTTTATTAATTGAAGTGTATTATTTTCTTACTCCTTATTCATTATCAACTATGACCACTGATTTTGTTTTGCACAATTTTGTGATCGGCATCACCAATACACCTCGTTGTAGGCTTTTCCAACATCCCGATCCTCTCTCATGCAAATGATGCATTATTTCTTTGACTTGTATAATATCACCCGACATTTGTCTGGAGGATTCTAAACACGACTTTATACACAGAGTCTACTAAGCCAAACCTCTATTCATAGTTTCACCAGTGACGCCCTCTTCGGAGCGCATCCATTGTACCGGTCTTATGGCCATCTCATATAAATCTTTTGAACATAATATATATTTTGCTTCAATCTGTACCTCCTGATAAAGGGTTTTATGCTAATTGAGATGCCTTCAAAAGGGATTTTCTTCAATTCACATATCATAAAGTTTTGAGTGTGACATTGAGGTCATGTAGACCTTCAATTGAGAACATGCTTTGCTAGTAAATGTTACAAATCATGCTTGGGCATAAACATGTCATGATAATAAATATATAAATACTAAAATACGGGTGGGTTCAAACGAGACAACCATCATTTATACAAAAACATCCATATCTATTGTAGTCTTTCACGGTATCATAGGTGATCTTTGATGCGACCTGGATCGTGTGGCAAGTGGTTCACACACCATCATGTTCTGACATATATCATCATATGTGATATAGTGTTCTTGTGTTTTCATATCAAAACCTATAACTACATTTTAGGAAAACATGTAGTTTTTCCTTATCCTATGAAAACACGTTTCCGTGGACAACACATACATGATGACTTACTCAATCTCGTAATTTGTGGATATTACTTAGCAATCAAGTAACAGACATTCAATGGATTAAGTTATATTAAGGTGTTTGATTTTCATCTTAATGGGTGGTTATCTTAATGGATTAAGTTATATTAAGGTGTTTGATTTTAACTTAATGCTAAAAGATTGACTTAACATATTAAGTTAACTCATTCTATCTTAATGTATTAAGTTAGAATATTTTCTAAAAATTATCCTTTTCTTACAATTTTTAATCATACCTCATCAAAAAATAATTAGTTAAACAACATGTATAAATTAAAGTTTATAGTAATATACTTTTTATTAAGTGTTGTGTTATGAACTCGTTGAATTCATATTATTTATGTTATTTTAAATAATTCATATTATTTTTATTTTTTTGTCATGTTAAATATTTATTAAAAAGTTTATTTTCATCCAATGCTTATATAGACATAAAGTTAAAATGTTAGTTTTTTTGTTATTCAGATTATTTATTTAGAACAAAAATCAAACAACAGTTTATCTTAATTTATCTAGATAGATTAATGGTTAGAAACAACTTAATAGATTTAGAAAGGAATAAAAAATGAATAAGGGGTTGTTCGGTTGTAGCTTAATGGGCTGTATTCGCTCGGTCGTAAATAGCTGTTCGGTTGTGGCTTATTTAATCAGCCGATGACTTATTCAGTCAGCAAAAAAAAAATAGTGTCTTTTGTATTCAGCTTTTTTATTCCCTTTTTACCCTGCATCCTTTTTCAAATGCATAACCTATTGTTGATTAATACCACCAAATCCATGGTGAAAACCATTGAACCCTTCGTTCCCTATTGCTGGTGAACATCACCGATTCATCTTTCAAGTCTGGCAACTCCACTCTCCTCAGCCTCTCACGGCGCACTTCAACAACTAAGGGGTTGTTGAAACATGTTCTGTAACTTTCTTTCCCTGTTGTTCTTCGAACAACCCCTAAGAAGAACATCCTCTTCCCTAATTTATGCATTTGTAACTACAAAAAAACACCAAATCAAGAAAAACACCAAACCCAACCCATATCTGAATTCTTTTATGTTTTCCTTTTCTTACTAGATATGGACTTGGATTGATTGTGTTTGAACCATCATTGTTTCCAGCCAAGAGCCACTGGATCGATTGAGTTTGAGCAACCACTGGATTGATTTAGAGTCAGATTAGAGATGGAGTCTGGGGTTCGATTCTGGATCTTGATTGATTGAGTTCGATACTAGATGGGTTTGTTCTTAAAAAAAAAACAATGTTAGTTTGAGTTCTGAATCTTAAGCGATCGAGTTTCATCGATTTTGATTTTCTTTTTAGTTTCTTGAGCTGATTTTAATTTTCAATTGATATTTTATAATAATTACGAGTCATTTATTCAACATTTTTACATTTCTTTTATTCCGACACAAATAAAGACAAAAGGTCAAATAGTAATTTCTGACATTAAGACTGTTTATTCAGCACAACAACTTATCTGTTAACACACAGACAATTTTATCAATACAGACTAAACAGCCTTGGCATAGCTGTATGTGAGTCTTTGACCTCTTAGGAGGTCCAAGGTTCAAACCTCACCAATGATGAGGAGGGTGTGCGTTTATTTGTTCTATTTGCCATATATAAATATTATATATTTCAAAAAAAACTTTATCAATACTAACATCTTTATCTATACAGGTTTTAACATAAAACAAACCAAACAACCACTAAATCATTAAGTTGATTATACCAGAAACAAACTGTCTCTAAATGAAAATCATCCAACCTTAATCTTCAAATTTCACAAAACTTTAACATGTAAGATTAGTCAAGTTTGCAAGCATCATCCATACACCAGTTTATGACTTCTTTTCTTTTGAACCCAATTTCTTGAGTAAAGTGATCTTTCTTTTGCCTAAATCTTTTACTTTTATCAAATTTTGAACATATCTTCTTGATCTAAAATTGGAGACTTTCTTAAAAATGATTGATTGGTTTGAAGAGAAAAGACTTTTATTAAAATCAAATCTTTTACTCTTTATTTTTAAGTGCATGTTAATGGTTTCATAAGCCACACAAGTGTGGTTAATGTTTAAGTTTAACCTATACACTTTAAGAGAATATATTTGGCAATGAGGTGATTTAGACATTGTCTTTTGCATTACAAGCTAGTAATAGAGAATAGCTTGATAGCGACTTGAAACAAGTTTTATGGGAGATAGTCAATTGGTAAAGAATCACGTAAGCTTCATCCAGTTGTATTTTACATAAGACATGCAACTTGTTCGATTCTTTGACGCCATGTTTTACTGTTGCTTAGACATAGGTTAAGTATGACCAAGTGTACATATGATGTTTCCTTTTCGTTTCATACCCAATTAATACACTCTTTCCATCTTTGTCTACAATGGACTAATTCATGGGAACGCTTCTTGTGTCATTCAATTGGATAATTTCGCTTAAAAATAGTGAGCGGGCCAATGGGAGACTCAATACATTCGACAATACGACCTTTAGAGAATGTATTGGATCAATAAACACTAAATTTTGTATTTTCTTAAATACAATTTGAGGGCTAAGTAGATTCATGACTTACTATGTGCTACAAATGAAGTGTTTTGTAATTATGAGCAATGCGCTTGAGAACGCGGAAGGGTCTGTCGGCACGAGATTTGAGTTTTCCAAAACATCCACCAGGGAAACGCTCTTTGCGCAAATGAATCCAAACAAGATCACTATATTTGTACAATACCCGTTTCTGATGTTTGTTTGCTTCAAGTTTGATATTGCTCGTGTCGAATGATGTGGTCACACACTTGCCTATGGAGTTCTTTAATTTGAGTTGACTGGTCTACCACCTCAAGGCTAATATGCTCAGTGATCGGTAGTGGAGCCAGATCAAAGGGAGTAAGGGGGTAGCTCCCATAAATGATCATAAATGGAGTCTTGCCAGTTGGGCGTTTAAGTGACCGACTATAAGCAAATTCGGCATGAGCAGTAAGATCCCACTGTTTGGGTTGTTCAGGGACGAGACTACGTAGCAAATTTCCCAAATTGCAATTGGTCACTTTAGTTTGGCCATTGAAGTATATCAACATGCATCAGTACCATGTGTTTTAGCTATTGGCGAACCCAACATCTGGCAATAACTCGCGACACATCTCGTTTTCCATCTTAGGCCAATAAAAATTGCTACGAATTAAATCGAGTGTCTTGTCCTATCCAAAGTGACCCATAAGGCCCTCCTATGGCTTTCTACGAAATCTTCTTGTTAGCGTACAATTTTTGATTCACTAAACCGTGAAAACCTGGCGAAGGTGCAACAAATGTTGGTCGATATGTCTGGTAAACATCAAAATATCGTTA